GCGAGTCTTCAGCTGCTTTTTGAAGGAGACCACTGAGTCCACTGACCTCAGGCTCAGGGGGAGAGAGTTCCAGAGTCTGGGGGCCACAGCAGCAAATGATCTGTCACCTTTGGTCTTTAGCCTGGTGCTGCACAACCAGTAGGCTTTGATCACTGGACCTCAGGGACCTGCTGGAGGTGTAGGGACTAAGAAGATCACCAATGTAAGATGGTGCTTGTCCATGTAAGGCCCTATAGACCAGAACCAGGATCTTGAAATGAACCCTGAAGTTGACAGGCAGCCAGTGAAGCTGGAGGAGAAGCGGGGTGATGTGGGTGTGTTTGGAGGACTTGGTCAGAATCCGAGCACAGGCATTCTGAACCACCTGTAGACGGTTCAGGGAGGTTCTGCTCAGACACGTGAAAAGAGAGTTACAGTAGTCTAAGCGTGAGGAGATGAAGGTGTGGAGAACTGTCTCAAGTTCAGAGTGGGACAGAATGGGACTCAGCTTAGCAATGTTCCTGAGATGGAAGAAGGAAGAGCGAAAAAGAGAACTAACATGAGAATCCAGGGTGAGAGCTGGGTCAAAGGTCACGCCAAGATTCCTGACGGAAGGTTTGGTGTGGGAAGCAAGCTGACCAAGTGAGTCTCTGACTTTGGGAACCAGCTTGTCTGGGGCACAGATGAGGATCTCAGTCTTATCTTCATTCAGCTGTAGAAAGCTCCCAGCCATCCAGGCTTTGATAGAGTCTAAGCAGGTGTGTAACAGCTGCAGCTTAGACATCTCATGGGGCTTAAAGGAGATGTACAGCTGGATGTCATCTGCGTAAAGATGGTAGGAGATTCCCTTGAAGGAGCTCAGGATGTGCTGAAGAGGAAGCAGATAGAGGAGGAAAAGCAGAGGCCCCAGCACAGAACCTTGTGGGACTCCATGGGTAGGGGAAGTGGTGGAGGACCTAAACTTGGAGACGGCCACAGAGAAGGAGCGCTCAGAAAGATAAGAGGAGAACCACTCCAGAGCAGTTCCTGATAGGTCTACCCAGTCTCTGAGTCTCTCCAGTAGCAGGTGATGGTCAACAGTGTCAAAGGCTGCAGTCAGGTCCAGCAGGACCAGAACAGAACAGCCCCCTGCATCACTGTGAGTCAGAAGGTCATTAGAGACCCTAGAAAGAGCTGTTTCAGTAGAATGAGCTCTACGAAAACCTGACTGGAAGCTATCATAGATGTAATGTTCATCAAGTGCAGCTGTGAGTTGTTTAGCCACAACTTTTTCCAAGATCTTGGAGATGAACGGAAGTTTAGAGATGGGTCTGAAGCTGCTATGGAGAGAGGGGTCGAGACTCTGTTTTTTAAGAAGCGGGTGGATTTCAGCGTTCTTAAAGTAAGCAGGGACCTGACCAGAGACCAGAGAAGCATTAATTATAGAGAGCACGCTGGGACCGATGGACTGAAAAGCACTTTTAAACAAAGATGAGGGTAAGATGTCGAGGGGGCATGCAGAGGTCTTCATAGAGTTAACTAGTTTGGTTAACTCAGGCAAAGAAAAAGGAGCAAAGCTATCTAGGATGATGGGCCTGGTTGGAGTCGGGAGAGGCAGCGATAAGGCTGAAGGAGAGATGCTAGATCTAACCTTATTGACTTTGTCCACAAAGAAATACAGGAAGTTCTCACAGTCTGCAACAGAGTGGATGGAGGCTGTAGGAGAGGCAGGAGAGACGATGCTGCTGATGGTGTTAAACAGCACCTTGGGGTTCCCTTTGCTCTGGGACACCAGGTTGGAGAAATAGGAAACCCTTGCGTCTCTGACTGCAGAGTTAAAGGATGTCAGAAGATCCTTTAGGTGCAGCAGAGGGACGTGGAGATGGGTTTTCTTCCACAAACGCTCAATATTTCTGCATTGGCGCTTCAGGCTGCGAAGTCAGTCATTAAACCAGGGATTAGGGTTCACTGCAGGAACTGATCTGGTTCTGACAGGACAGATGTTGTCCAGAATGGAGAGGCAGTGCTCGTTAAACTGAGAAGTTAAGGAATCTGGGTCGTTATCAGAAGAACAGGGTGGATCAAAAGCAGCAGAAAAATTGCTAGCTGTGCTCTCAGTAAGAAAACGAGAACTAACCATACGGCGAGCAGGAGGTGGGGACGCAGAAACTGACAAGTTAAAGAAAATGCAATGGTGATCTGAAATATAAACGTCCTCAGGACAAACACTGTCAGCATTTAGACTCAGGGTAAAAACAAGGTCTAGAGTGTGCCCCCTGGTGTGTGTGGGGCCAGAAACATGCTGGGTAAAGCCGAAGGTGTCCATGAGGCTGGAGAAATTCATGGCAAAGAGATCGGAGGGATCATCAACGTGGATGTTAAAGTCACCAACAATCACCAGTCTGGACAGCTTCACAGTGGAGGATAGAAAGTCACTAAACTCCTGAAGGAAAGAACTGTTTGGACCAGGTGGACGATAGACCACAGCACAGTAGAACGGGTCTTTATGCCCGACTTTAATCAGCTGCAGTTCAAAGGAAGCAAAGTGACCAGAGGTTGTAGAGCTACATGGAAGATGGTCTCTGAAAACAACAGCTAGGCCTCCACCACGACCAGAACCCCAGGGCTGGCTAAGAAATGAATAACCACTCAGGCAAAGTTCAATCAGAGCAGAATAATCAGATGTTTGCTGCCAAACTTCAGTCAGAAACAGAAAATCCAGGTTTTTAGACAGAATTAGATCATTGAGCAGGAAGGACTTATTGTTAACAGAGCGGGAATTTAATAGAGCCATACTGGGTGAGGAGGAGGAATCAGAAACTACAGAAACAGCTGGAGTTAGTGGACGTAAATTAGCAGGGTTAGATCCACGGTGTTTATAAAAACCACTTATGGAGGGAACAGGAGGAGAAACCACTGAGTAATGAGGATAAACCGACCTTAAAAAACTTGCACGTATGAACGCGGCCTGGCGAGAATGCGGAAGTGGCGCTCAGGTCACCAAACAAAGGACAAGAAGCTAGAAGATCACGCTGATGTTTACCAGATAAACCACGCTTTAAGAGAAGTCTTATTCTCACCTGGATTCCTTTTCCTCCGACGTTTTCCCGGGACTGGACAAACATCGCTAGAGGTGCGCAGTTCTGGATTGTCGATTGCTTCCGGGCCAGTGCGCCGCTCAGGTAAACAAACAGGATGGTAAATCCTCGGTGCATCATGGGCGATCGTGAACGAACGGAAGGACAAAAGAGTCTGGCGATCATAGGAGATGGTAGCAGAGACACTACTGAAGAGGATCGCAGACGGGAGCAAGGTGGAAAAGAGGAGGTTAGTGGAGAAAAGTTTGAAAAAGTGGCCGGTGACCGCGGCGAAGCCAAGCACAGGCGCAATCTTGCCGACCGGAAGTCGTCCGGTCCTGGTACACAATAGCTCCTAGGTTAATTGATGTTACTACTCACAACCATTTCTCAATTATGTTACTAAGCTACACCAATGAGACAAATGGTTTTGTGTATTTAGACTGATTTACCTAGGAGCTATTGAAAAAAATCCCGTAACTTTGGATAAAATTCATAAAAAAAAGATGAGATTGTATAAAAGTTGTTAAAAATTGCTGTGTCTCATTGGTCTAGCTTAGTAACACAATTGAGAAATGGTTTTGTGTAGTAAAATCAATTAACCTAAGGTATTGAAAGAAATCACAGAATTTTTCATGAAAATCTTAATAAAAAAGATCAGGTTGTATGAAAGGTGTTAAAAACTGCTGTGTCTCATTGGTCTGGCTTAGTTACAACATTGAGATATGGTTTTGTGTATTTAGTTTGATTTACCTAGGAGCTATTGAAAAAAAATCCCTTCATTTTGGAATAAAATCCAAATAAAAAAGATCAGATTGTGTGAAATGTGTTAAAACTGTTGTGTCTTGTAAATGTAGTTTAGTAACACAATTCAGAAGTAATTTTGAGTCATTTAGCAAATTATTCTGGAAGCTTTCAATTTATTTTTGTACTCGTTTACAAAGGACTACAAATTTGTTGATAGTCCCTAAGGGAACCACCGTTCCCATTAGCGAGTCCTCAGAATTCAGCTAACCGCTGTCTGTGCCGCAGTGCACGTCATGAAGACTTATCGCTGACCGTGTAAACCAATGTCCGTCGAATATCCAACGTCCAACTTCAAGCCAACTTCACCGTGGTCCAGACGTACAGTGTGAGCAGTCAGGGCGCATCCGAGAATTATGGAATATAGAATTAATCCGAGATTATAGCAGAGCTGAGTGTACTATTAAACATTCTTAAATGTCTTGAAAAAGATCATTAAACTGCTGTTTGTCTTTCACCTGATGTAGAAGCTAAACCCCAGGCTTGATGACGAGGAATTTTAAGGTTTAAACTCAGCCCCGTGTCTGCTTTCAAGTAATTAAGATTGTATTCCACCTCTTTTAACAAAGCATGACTAACCTTATTACTATGTAGACACTGATTAGCCTCAGAGCTTTTAAGACTGTTTATTTCCTTGCTGTTGAGCACAACAGAGTTAAGTAGCTAAAATGCTACAGTGTGTTAGCTTTGGCCATATTTAAATATTGTCCTCCCACCCCTACATTGCAGTAGGCAGAGGAATTGTAACGGTGTCCCGTTTGAGCTGTACTAGCTGGTGTTCTTGCGTAGTTTACGTCTATAAAAGGACCATGAAAAGTGAATTGGCGCAAACTGACAGCATCATCCGTATATGGTCACAATGTAAACAAACGCCAGACAGGAAGTCGTTGCATATTTCACATAAAGGCTCAAGGGGGCTAGGAATAAGGTGGATAGGTGTATTGCGATAAAGTCTCAATTTTTATTGGAATGCAGGATTAACCCCAGGGCTTCACAAGCCTGGCGTGCTGCCAAGCCTGGCTTGGTCTTCCACCAGGCCAAGTGTCCACCCCCCTCCACTGCTGTCACGGGCGATGCATGAGAGCAGAACAATCTGTACCATCCACTTATACTTGACATTTTTAAAATGAAAATCCTTTTATTGTCTGAACCTCCCAATAGATAAGGCAGCAGCTAAGTACCCTGGGTTGATCAACCTTGGGTCAACCTGTTACCTGAACAGCGTCCTGCAGGTTCTGTTCATGACCAAAGAGTTCAGAGATGCTGTGATCAGGTTGGTTGTTGTTCTGGGTTTATACATGAATATGAGTTGGGTCTGGGTTGAATGACTCCTGTGTAACAGCTGACTTCTGTTTGTTTAGGTTTGTGGAGGAGAATCCTGACACTGATTTTATCGATCGTCATCTCAAAGATTTGTTTGACGACTTACAGAAATGTGATGCGTACACATATAAAATCATAAAGACCCTGGGCATCGACAGAGGTACAGTGTGTTAGCCCTCAGCTTAATACTTCCCTTTAGTATCATCATCATCATCATCATCATCAATGTTTACCAAAAAATACTTTATTATTTATGGTTATATTGTCTTAAAAACGTTTTATATGAGTAATACGTTCACATCTCCCAGTCTATGAACAACAGGATGCTGCAAAGTACTTTGAGAAGATTTTACGGTTAACTTGTCCCGACACGGCAAAGGTAAAGGTTTTATCAACATCGAAGGAGAACTGATCATTTCAGTCTAACAACTGACACTTCCTGGTGGGTTTGTTTATCTCTCCAGGTCTTCCGCGGTGAGATGACACACAGAACCACCTGTTCTGAATGTGAGACTCAGAACGACACAGATGGACCTTTCTGGTATCTTCCTCTTGAGCTGGTAGATTCCTCCAGTGGGAACTACAGCGTGGTGAGAATCGGACTCCTTGTGAACGTCTCAAGTTTCTTTTGTGAATGACACAATAGCTTCACAACACTGCTCTATCACATCGCCGCCTAGGCAAGCCCCTTTTAATCTACATGCTGGCTGACCTGGAGAGGAACATATAACATATCTATCTGTGTCTACATTGCACAGCTGGCTGGTTACACCAACTATCTGCCGTCATTTTCTCACCAGAGGCAATAATGCTTAAACTATTCAACTGTATTATTTTTCCAACATCCAGTCGTCAGTCCAATAAATGATGATGGACGATACAATCTCAAATGTAACTTTTGGAGCGATGTAGTCATGTACGGATGGACTCATTCACTCTTTTCTCATCAGAAAGCCCCAACTGCCAGAGTTTTTGAGCATTTTTACTGTTTTTTGAAGAGTCACAGAATATGGTGCTCTGTGACCACGTAAACACCAAAACTACCAACAGAAAGAGTAGACTCAGTTTGTACATCAGGAAGAAGTTTCTAGGGTTTTCCGTTCTGTCACAATCTGTTGTCGAAGTGTGAGCTGCAGAAGCTTTTCTGGTTTGCTCCTTGTTTTAGGCATAGCGGCACCCTGAACCAATCTTCCTGTTCACGTGACGTGTGACACACATGATGAACATAAACTTTAGAGCCGGGATGTTCACTCTCAAGGTGAGCAAGCTCGTTCCCAAGCTCGCCCTGTTTCAAAAACGCAATTGACAACCTTAGTCGTCAGTGGCAGTGAATGAGTTAATTAGCAAACACAGTCCTAACATGGTTTTTTAAATGCAAGAACAGTGCATATATTTGATGGAAGAGAATTTTTGATTTTAGTTAATTTTTGTTTAGTTTTGGGTTTGTTTAGTAGATTGACATACAAATGGCCAGTATTAAATACAGTTCTAATGGTAAATGTGGGGTTCAGGTGTGCCTGTTTCAGGAAGTAAAGTCAGCTGTAGGAGAAAGTGGCTTCAGACGGCAGGATTTGTAGTCTTGTTTCCTGATATTTGGACATCTTGCCTTGGATTGGCTAACAGGAACACAACCCTACCTCTGACTAGGGTTGGGCATTGTTTGATTTTGAACGATTCTGATTCCAATTCCTCATTTCGATTCCGGTTCCTATCGATTCCCGATTCTGATTCTTTCAAGACATGGCATGTTTTACATGAGCCAGCTAACCACAGGTCCTACTTGATGAAATAATCTTAACTTCAACATGAATTTTAACTCTATGAACAACAACATCACCTTCATTTAGACAAAAACTTGTTTTGGAGAAAAAAGAAAAAGACTTGCAGCACAACCAGTGTGTTTGTTTCTGACCACAACCAAAGTCTGGAAGAAGCCTCTGGGATGAGAGGCTAAATGTCTCCAACATATCCAGAAACGTGCAGCTGTTTTCAGATACAACTCTCAGGATGATCATGTCCAGGATGACTGAGAACTACACCTCCATGCTGCAGCAGCATTCAGTCAGAACAGGAAGTGAAACTTAAACGTAGCTGCTGTCAGTAACAATCTAACAGATTTTAAACATTAAAACTCAACAGAAATAGTTCAGAAAGGAAATAAAATGTTCACAACTTTGTGTGTGATTTATTATTATTATTATTATTATTATTATTATTATTATTATTTATTGTGGCAGAAGCTGGTGTGGTCCACCACAGAGAAGCTGCTCTAGCATGATGACTTTAATTATTCTACAGGTTATTGTTCAGCCTTCTGACGCTCACACACACACACACACACACACACACACACGAGTGTTGGTCAGCGGCTGCGTCTGACTGCTGACGCTCCGTGTGTGTTTTTATTTCTGCAGTGAGACAAACTCACAGCGTCCAGAGTTTGTTCTTTAAAGCTTCTATTAAATCCACCGTGTTGACGTATTTAACACGTTTCCTCTACGCTGCAGGAGTTAAAGTTTACATTACGGAGTAAAAGTTCGGCAGACGTGTTTGTTTATATCAGGGTGGGGGGAGGGGGGACTCGGTGCTGCACACAGACAGCTGGTGTGATCAGCTCTGAAAAGCGTTGATCCCAATTTGCAGATCAGGTTTATTTTTCCTGGAGATCGGCCGCGGATTCCTCTTCCGGTCGGTATTCTAGGAATCGAAATAAAAAGCTTTCAATAAGGGAAAAACGAAGTTTGTCCCGGTTCCAATTGATGCTCGATGCCCAACCCTACCTCTGACTTTTTTTTGCTTTGCAGTGTTGATGTTTTATCTTTACAAATAACAGAAGCCTGGAGGAGTTCTGGTGTGTAGTGGAGTTGCTAATGCTAACGGTTAGCTTCTACTAGTTGAGATGTTCTCTGCTGTTCCCTGGACACTAAACCAAATGCTCATTTGGACGCACGGTGGGGAGAATGCATTTGCTTGCAGCCAGTGGTCACATCAAACATTTATCCTCGTCATTTTTATTTTTGCAAATACTAATAAATAAACATTCAAAATGCTACTACATTTCCATTTAGTTTTCATTAATATTTAGTCCAAACAAACAGAACAGAGTGCCCCAGTAACATAAACAATGCAATTCAAAAATTCTACTTTCATTAGGAACATTTCACCTGCTCCGAGTAAACCTGAACTGTACACCTGCTTCTCCATAATTAAATGTCTCTAGGGAGCTTGCTGAAGACTCATTAGGTTCTGGGCTTTGCCTCAGACAGACTCACGACTGTCTTAATGTTTTGTGGAGGTTGAATCCACGTGTCGCTGCCACGCTTTAGCCTGGAATAATAAACACTACTTCAGCCCGAGTTTTAAAATCAGGGAACATTTCTCCAAATGAAATAACCCAATGTTCGTTAAACCGTCTGGATAAAAAGCATTTCCACTTTCCGACCTGGAAGAGCTCGGCATTGCACTCTTGTGCACTGTTCAGTCACAAACGTGCACCGAGCTGCACTCCAGCACGCCGTCTGCTTGCACGCACTGTCATCAGCGAGACGTGGAGATTGTAGCCTACAGGAGTGAGATAATGCCTAGATGCTCCGATGAGAATCTTTTCTTGATTATGTTACCTCTGCAACGCTCTTTGTACACAACGTTTAAAACATCTGTGCACCTGCATGAATCATTAAACTTACTCATGGGCAAATAAATAAATGAACAAATCAGTCTTGTAAAAACAACTGCTGAAAGGCTCCGCCTATCGTGGATGGCCGAATAATTCATCCAGTCACCCAACCCTAGTTAGAACCAAACTACATTTTAATGTAATGACCCCTAACTATCTTATTTGATCTGAACAAAGCAGTGCTTCATAACTGGTAACTAATGAATGCTATGACCTGAAATATATTGTTGGCTGAAACAGTTTTAGGCACTCCGTCCCTACAAAGCAGCTCTTTAAATTCAAGGTGTTTGTTACGTGTCTGGGATTGTTTACTTTTTATAAGTCTCTTACTGATTGTTAAAGCTTCTTTCTGGAGTATTTCTCTTATCCAATGGCACCATCTAGTGGCTGACAAGCGTATCACACAAAATAATCTGTTGCTTTCACGTTTCTGTTTATAAATGTGCTTCTGTAGCCGACAAACGGAGCTAAAACACGTTTTACGAGTATTGTTCTCGTGTCATGTTGCGTTCTCATATGTTTATATTTGAGAGACTTACTTGTCCGTAAAAAGTTCATCAACTCTGCATCAGCCGAGGTATTCCTTAAATTGGAAGCACGTAAGTGGTAGTCTAACGCTATTGGTTAGTTCTGGTCAAAGCTCAGTTTCCTATTGCACGGAGCTCTGCGGAGCAGGGGGTGTGCTTAGCAAAAAATAAAAAATAAAAAAGATGTATTGTTTACATTTTATCACAGTACGTGATAAGATTATCACTTTTACGGATTTCTGAAAAATCATACATCATTTCTGAAAGGGGAAAACTCCGGAAAGCAGCTTTAATGTTTGTTTTCTAAAGAGCCAGGTTGGTAGAGAAGGTTTGTTATGTTTAGATTTAATGAAGAAATTAGAAACACTATCCAGTCTCATTTATTTATTGAAAGTAAACACATTTTGCCTTTTTTATTTTTTCAGGAAGACGGCATTCAAACATATTTCAGCCCCACGTTATTTACTGGAGACAACCAGATGTACTGTGACACCTGTGATACCAAAGGTGATGCTTCTAGTGTGAGTAAATATTAAATTCCTCTGATTGTTTATTCTGTAATGATCTTCACAGCATAAAACAAAAGAAATCTGTTGTTTTCGCTCAGAGATATTTCATAAAGGATCATCCAGATGTTCTGATTCTGCTGCTGAAGAGGTTTGACTTCAGCTATAAAGACATGTCATATGTTAAAATCAACCGTGCTGTTGATGTTCCCTACACCCTGACAGTACCAGAGGTGAGTCTTTAGTTTATTCAGTACTGGGTTATGACCTGTTCGTAAAGCATTACTTTAATAATGAACTGTATTTGTATAAATCAGAAACAGGTCTATGAACTTTATGCATTTGTGGATCATTGTGGTGATCTGAGAAGTGGACACTACAACGCTACAATCAAACCTCAGGATGAAGAAGAGACTTGGTACAGCTTTGACGACACCAGAGTCTCACGGGTGAGTCTCACCAGCTTTTCTTCACTGTTGTAAATACTACCTTTACTGTCTAGTAAAGGTAGTTCTGATGTAAAGAAAACTGCATTTTGACTTCAAGGGTTAACCAGGCAAATATCTTCTATTTACAAGTTGGGCTGCAGCTACATTTAGTATTAGAATATTATATCAAATCCTTTGGTGATTAATTGAATATTCTATTTGATGACATTTCAAGTGGAACCAGACTGTGTTCTGCTGCTAAAAATGAGAAAATAAAACAACAAAATTATAAAAGGCTCAATAACATGTGTTACATTGATGATCTCTTTCCCAACTGATATTTATAGTTAATACATTTTTTGTGGGGCTGCACAGTGGTGCATGTGTGGGTTCTCTCCGGGTTCTCCGGCTTCCTCCCACAGTCCAAAACCATGACTGTTAGGTTGATTGGTCTGTCTAAATTGTCCTTAGGTGTGTGTGTGTGCATGATTGTTTGTCCTGTGTGTCTCTGTGTTGCCCTGCGATGGACGCACTCTGTCCAGGGTGTACCCTGTCAGTTTGCCCGTTGACCGCTGGAGATAGGCACCAGCAACCCCCTGTGCTCTGTGTGTCCTTATGCTTCCCCAGCCCTCTCCAGGTTCTCCTCATGTGTCTCCTTGTGTTCTTCAGCTCTCTCTAGGCTTCCCTCATGTTTCCTGCTAGTCACTCCCGTGTAGTTCCTATTGGTTTGTATTAGTCCTCTTCACCCCTCTAGTCATTAGTTGTTTATCTTTGCCCTTTGTCTTCAGGTTTAGTTATTTAGTGTTTTATAGGTTATGGCTTATCTCCCCCTCTGCTTAAGTTCTTTCCCCATTTAGTTTATTGATGGTACCTGTCCCCCTCTAGACCTCACTCCTCACACCTGTCACCTGTTCCCCTGATTGCTTCCCTCTGTGTTTAAAAACCCTGTCTTGTCCCTTAGGCCTAGTCCACACGTAGCCGGCGTTTTTTAAAAACGAATATCCGTCCCTCCAAAAACTTGCATCCACACCACCGCGTTTTAAAAACAAACTCTGTCCACACGTACCCGGATAAATACGTTGTTATGGACATGCCAGACCTGTAGGCGGCAGTACTTCCCCGTTCTTAACCTCGTCCTTCGTCTGTGGTCTTCCACAAGGAGCAGTAATTCTGCTTGCAAAAACAAACAAGCAGAAAGCGCTTGGACAATTGATGGATCGGGTAGTGACAGAGCGCAGCGCTGAGGGCATCCATGCTGCCGGCTAGTGTAGACACAGGTCGCACACGTGATGTCAGCATTTTTTTGTCGCGGAAAGTGACGTTGCGGACCTTAAAACTCCGGCTTTGTCCGTCCACACGCAGACACCCAAAACTGAGAAAACGCAGATCTTCACTTTGGCCGGAGTTTTTAAAAAGATTCGTTTTCGTGTGAAAAAACTCAGTTTTCGTGTGGATGACAGGCCAAAACGTAGAAAAATATCTACGTTTTGGCAGATCCCCGGCTACGTGTGGACAGGGCCTCAGTGTTTGTTGGTCCATTGTCATTGTCAGCGTTGTTCTGTCCTCCTCAGGAGCTTCAGGTTTTTGCTCATGAATGAGCTTTGTTTTTGTAGCTCAGTTTGTTTTTTCTGGATTTTCTGTTTGGCCTCCTGCACCTTTGGATAATTACCCATCATCCTAAATAAAGGACTTCACTTTCTACAACCGCTCCTGCCTCGAGTGATCTGGTGTTCTGCAGTTTTGGGTCCTGACCTCCTGCGCTCAACGTGTCACAGAGAAACCGCTAAAATATGCTGGATACCAGCCCTGCAATTGAATATCCCTGCTTTATAGGGTTAATAAAGGGCCACCTAGTCCCTGTGGCCAGAATTCCACATTTGCAACTCCAGAGTTGCCGTTCCGGTCTGTTGGAGCTGACATGCATGGCGCTGCAGTCTGGTTTCTGTATGTTTCCTGCATGTTTTAGATCATGAACACAGTGATGAATCAGTCCTGTAGACACTAAAGGCTGGGGAGACATTTCAGCTGTTAGATTAAGGTGTTAAAACACAAACGCACGGTGTGGAGTTTTACTTTTGGCTCCACAAACAGACACTAGGGGGTGCTAAAAGCAAGCCAGAACTGCCTTGTCTCCCTTTAACATCACTCATCCTAGTCTAAATAACTAAATATCTAAATTTGCCCACATGTGATCTGTTCAATTACATTATTTCATTACCGTGTTCAGCAGTAAGCTACTGGAAATGCTAATAACTTGGAATGCACCAAAGAATTTGGCTGAAAATAAGCCAGAAGTGCATTTTTGGTTTTGGTCCAAAACACCAAAATTGTCGAAACAGACCGTTAGGTTAAACCCGTTTTCGGGTCATCTTGCCCCACCTCATATGGTAATTTGTTCTTTGCTTCATAAAAATAGTACATTCTGATTTCAAAGTAAAGTTTCCCCTTTTAATAATGCTGTTTTATTACGATCGCTGTTCATATCAATCAGGACGCATGTTTTCCTTCGGTTTCACACTGGCCTTTTTTCTTCTTTTACATTCTGCCACGTCTGTCACTATTAGTGCCTTTTTTTACCATGATTTCTACGCCCGCCATGTCCCGAACACAGCGAAATAAGCTTTGGATCATGCGTGTGAAGCGTGTTTACTCTCACGAAGCCCACAGACTGTTGCTGCTGCTGCAGCGTCACTCTCTTCCTCACTGAACAAGTGCAAATCTTTATCAGAGGGTGATGCTACTCTTCAGAATCAGTCAGCCATTACCAGAGAAAGAGCTTTTTCAACAATGAACAGACCTGCCAGCTTTATGAGTTTCTCCTCTCTAACATTTAATAATAATCACCCTCTGTGAGCTCGTCTCGTCCTATCTGGGAGCCGGTTTTCAAACATAAACTCTGAAAATTTGAAAAGAAACACCCAAATGTGTTGCTTAGGTTGAAGTTTCACATCGCCACTATCTTCTGGTAATACCTTCGTGAGAGATTACATTTGCAGCTGTGGCTCGTTAAACATGATATAGCGACTTTGGCGCTCAAAGGGTTAATTTAACATTTTCAGCAGGTATTTCAGGTATTAGCCTGTACGTTTATAATAATTATTTTGTTTATAATTTATTATTATTTAATGTACACGAGTGGGTCAAGTGAAACATTTTATTTATAGTTTTACTTTATATTGCGCGTTGTTGTAATGTCAGCGCTACATAAACGTTTTCATGGTTTTGTAATTGATTTATTGCAATGCCTTGATTTTAGTGAGGTTAGTACACGTCATAGCCATATATTCTATGGTTCTAATTATTGACATGATCGTTTCGCCCTTGGTTTCCTGGTAATTAGTTTTCGGTTTTGGCCAAGAATTTTCATTTCGGCGCATCTCTACTAATAATATTTTATTTCTAGTGGTAACAATGTAATGGTGGCATATTTTTTATTATGTACAGGCTGGTAAAATACTCCAGTTTAAATTATGATCAAAGATAGAAATATTTGTAAGTTGCATGCTACAACGGCCTGCCATATCCCTTCTGCAGTGTGTGGAGCAACAACCAGATTCAGGAAGCTGCTACGGGTGTGCTCCATTGCACTGCAGGCTGCAGACGTCCACAAATAAACGGGAGTGTGGGGATTTTTCTTCCGCTTGTAGAGTTCGCAACCACCGTGTTTTTTTCTGAACCCCACTTGATCGTGAGCTTGCTACCCACTAGTGTTAGCATTAGCCAATCTGCCCGTATTTTGACTTCTGATCCCAAACTTTGGACCATTTCTGCCTTTTAAAATGGTTTGTGTCTCTTCTAGTTTCTCTAATTTCCTCCACAGCACCTAGATCACCTCATTGTGCTTCAGTAAAATGAGTTCAGATTGTGAACAAAGCCTAAATGATGAAATTTGATGATTTGTTTCAGTCGTTGTTACAAGGTTACTAAATAATTCTAATCCTAAGTGTACAAAAACATGCAACTGAGTCCACCAGGTCGTTAAAATATAAAAGCTGCATATTAAACGCTAAACTCCCTTAAACATTCAGTAGCTTTGCAGAAACTTGGAAGTAATTGTGTTCAGCTTTAGTTTATTAAAATGCTTTGATGCATAAGTGTATTACTTACATTAGAAAACAGATTTAATAGATATTTTATTTTCCTTTACTTTCATCAGCTTGACAGAAGTCCATTCCCGGAAAGTGTGAACGTTGCAAGGTGAGTGACCTTTTTAATCTGCTCACATGCTATAAATCTTTTCACTCTTGGTGTTGCAGCACATCACCACATGTGCTGAATGGTTAGCCTCTCTAAGTTCATATAGCACATTAATACACAGAGGTAATTGTATGTGCCTGATTCTAGTCAGTTGTTACTTTATCTGTGTTGTTACTAAGCTCAGTGACCGCACATCTCCGCTAGCTAAAGATACTAATTCTGAATGGTTCAAAATGTGCAGCTTTTGTCGTGAACCTGTCAACGCGGAAGACTGAAAACCAACATCTGTTAAAGAATTTCTACTTCAATTCAATTCAGTTCAAAAATACTTTATTAATCTCAGAGGGAAATTCAGTTGTTTCAGGGCACACAATTCCAAGATCAGACATACATACATAGACACATGACAAGAACTGGTGACTGTGGTCATTCGCAACACGAGTCGCGCTACCGTTATAAATCAAGAGGGTTTATATGAGGATAGAGTCAGGGGGAGGGAACAAAAGGCACTTCAGAGTTACCCCCTACAGAGAGGATAGCTTTGCTATGCAAAAAACCACCTCAGACAGATATGCACACAGACTTCAGACGATAAACATAAGTGTCCACTAGGTGGGGAGGTAGGGTTGGGACTCTCCTCACTTCAGAGCGTGCAGCTGCAGAGCAGCGCTCATCACCTCCGTTTGGACAGGGGAGGGAGATAATGGGTTAGAGAGCACATTGACTCCTAGAGACGGTTCCACGGCCTTCACCGGTCACAGTCCCACCCAGGCTGGGATAGGGAGAATGAGTTTCTTTTTTTTTTTTTTTTTTTTTTTTTTTTTTACCGTGCCCTGTCTGGCTGTGAAGCAAGCAGAATTGATGTCTGAATGCTGGTGACAAGCCTTACAGATTTACTCTCAGGTGGAGCATCAAAGCGTTTGCTTTTAATGTCACGCCTGATACTTAAAACTTTATTGTTATTGTTGTTGAATGCATTGTAATTCCAACCAGACACGGAGACAGAGGTGAAAGAGAAAGGAAAAGAAAAGGTGGGGAGAGAGGGGGGGGGGGGGGGGGGGTTCCACAAAAATAAACAATGAACAAGAGTCTGCTTCTAGACCTGCAGAAAAGGACAAAAAAAAGGGACACAACAACAATACAACAAGATCAAGCTATCACTGCGTCAACTTGATGAAGAAAATATATAATCAACATTGCTTAACTGAAGAATCACAATAATAAATCACAGTGCATTAAGTGCCCACCATAGTCTTAAGACCTGTGTTTAACGTGCCCAAGCCCATACTTTTGAGAGCACCATGTGAGCACCTGTGTGTGTACACGCGCTTGTTTATGTAAGGTTTCTCTATAGGAGCGTCCAACAGAGAGTGTGAGGGACCACAGATCCGCCCCCCAAAGATGCGCAGGAGACGGGGGGAGCTCCAAGTCCCAGAGATCCAGGCGCTGCCCCAGAACACAGGAACCCCAAGGAGACTGCAACCAGGAAGCCCCCCCCCCCCACCGAGAGGCACAGAGGATCGCCCCGGAGGGCCACAACCAGCAGCCGGCAGAGTCCCGGGAGACATCAGCGGGAAGCCCACAGGCCCGCCCGCAGCCTCCCACCCCCTAGCCGGCTGAGCCCGGGACCCAGCGACCCGGGACCCAGGGGCGACCACCCCCGCTGGGGACCCAGCAGAGCCCAGGGACCCAGACCCCACCAGGCAGCCACCGGGATCTATCAGGCAGATGCCTGAAACTTAAACCCCCAGACCCGGTTGCCACGAACACTCAGGCAGACCATGGCACAACCCCTCACACCAGGTGTGGCAGGGGGAGGGGGGACAAAGATCTATATCGTCAAGAGAGGTTCCAGGAGAGGGGAGGAGTCAAAGGCCCCACCTGACATATACAATCATACACAAACACAGTCACACAGTCCCTCCCTCATGCTCACACATGCACATACAACCCAAGACTTACAAAAATGCACGCCGGACACCCACTCATGCTCCCCATACACACCCTATTCACTCTGGTCCCGGTACTGCTGCACACTGGGTACAACCATCACCGGTAACCAGAGTTTGACCCTTTCTGCTGGGGTGCTGATGAGCAGGCTCCCCCGCCCAACGCTGAGCAAAGCAACCCACCACCCCAAACCCCAACCGGACGGCCAGATCTCCCTCCTAGCCTCCAGCCCCAGGAGGCCTAGCAACAACAGAGGTGGCTAAGACCCCTAGTCTCCCCCCGCCTGCTCCAATATAGTGTTGTGTGATCATGAGGTGTATTCCATGGCTGTGGTGTGTGGGCAGTGCAGGCATCATCCGGCCTATGCCAGCTGGTGCCACCGCACCACCCACTTACACCCTCAGCCATCAGTGTCTAAGTGCGGTTTAAAATTGGAAGTGGGCACCGGCACCCGGGAGGAGGCTGAAATATCCCCCTGCCAAATGCCGTTGAATGTGCTCACTCCCAAGGCCCTAAGTGTGTGTTTGTGTGGAATGTCGTCAGTGGAAGTGTATAAGGTGCAAATAAAATGTGGGGGGCAGGTTGCCACAAGAATGTGGAAATGGGGTCCATACCCGCACTCCCTGACTTGCCCAACCCCCAAGGTCCTATGTGTATGTTTGTGTGATGATGTGAGGGAGCAGGAGGAGAGAAATATGCGGGGATGGGGAGGAATGGCTGGCTGGGCTTAGCCCTCCAGGGAGCCAGCTCCCCTACTGGCCCCAATAGGCACCTCTGCTGTCAAACTGCCACCCAGGGCATGGAGACCCCAGCCCATCCTGCCAGGGCCCAAAGCAGCAGCATTACAGAGCCTCACGGAGTCCAAGGGCACCAACCCAGCCCCACCCCAGCAGAATATCTATGCCCATCCCTGCATTTGCACAACATCCAGAATATATAAGACATGGGACATCCAGGTAAGGTTGGGTCCTCCCCCTCCTGAACCTCCCCCTCCCCTGTGATGAAACGGCAGAGGAGCCAAGGTCTACCTGAGGCCCCCGAACCCGGGCCAGGCACTGCTGCGTGTTCCTGCCTTCTTCCCGGCAGCATACATGTCAGGACCCGACCCCCAAGGCCCCGCCCAGATCCCCACACAGGGCCGGCCACCCCCAAACCCCGAGCCCCCAGGCCCCCACCCAGACCCGCCCAGGGGCATTGCAGCCGCCAGGCAGTGACCCATGGCCGCTGCCAAGCCCCCCCAAGGGGCCCCACTCACAACTGCCAGCAGTCCACCCCCCGAGGCAACCCAAGCACCTCCAGAGGGGGGCAACGGCCCCCCAGTCCCAGACACCCCCAGTGAACCCACCTCCAGGGAATATCCGGATACTCCAAACTCAGACCCCACACCCCCCCACCCACACCATCCTGTAGGACAACATCAACGGCCCCCCACCCTCGCTATGTGATGGAACCGATCAAAGGAGCCCTGAGAGATTCATCTGAAGTGGAAGCAGAGGCTATATCAAGTGCAATATGATCTAACAAAAGATTTCTATACTGGTTAATGCAGAGAGTTTCTCTATTTTTCCAATTCAAGAGGATAGTTTTCTTAGCGATGCATATGGCAGTCAGAACCACGTGAACCACAGATGTTTCAATCGGGACATCGTCCAGGTTTCCCAGCAAACAAAGAGAGGGGGAAGTTGGGATATGACATTTCAGACATTTTGACAGATCCTCACATACTCTACCCCAAAATTCCTGGACAGGTGGGCAGGACCACAGTGCATGAATGTAATTGTCAGGAATGTTGTTTGTGCAGTGTGTACAGGTGTCAGACGACACAAACCCCATCTTGAACATCCGATGACCTGTATAGTGTACTCTGTGTAGAATTTTGTACTGAATTAATTGTAAATTGGGGTGTCTGATCATTTTAAAAGTTTTTAAACAAGTTTGGGACCAGAAGTCCTGGTCAAAGCTAACTGATGGATCCACCTCCCATTTTTCAATAGGGATTGCAATTTTATCGTCTATTTTGGACAGTGTCTTATATACTTTAGACAGTAGTTTGGGGGGTTTGAGATTATAAAAGTCTAATACCCTTGGTGGTGTTTGTAATTCTATTTTATTGAGCTTAAATTTTTGTTTGACTACAGATTTAATTTGGTGATATTCTAAAAAGCTATTCTTATCCATTCCAAATTGGGAGACTATTTGATTAAATGGGATGAAGTCCAATCCTTCATATATGTGTTCCAGGTATAGGATTCCTTTATTTTTCCAGTCCGGAAGGTTCATCATTTTGTTGTTTTGCAAAATGTCAGGATTATTCCAGATAGGTGTGCGTCTGCATGGTACTAGTGAAGACTCTTTCATTTTAAGATACTCCCACCATGCTGTCAGAGAGGTGCTGATACTAATACTTTTGAAGCTTTCATGTTTTCTTATGCTTGAGCTAATAAATGGTAAGTCTGAAAGCTCTATCGTATTGCAAAGTGTCTGTTCTATATCTAACCAGGACTCGTCTAATGGGTTATCTTGCAACCATCTTGGTATATATTGCAGCCTGTTGGCTAAGAAATAATATTAAAACATCTTAGGTGTGTTCTTGCTGTGTCTTTGTAAATCCATGCTTTCGTTCTTTTTTAAACACAGAAACAGTTTTGTTTACCTGTTTGTAGCTACGGTTTCGCCGACAGCTGCCGGCTTCTTCAGGCTGACGCTGATGGTGGCGCGTCACTTCCTTCTCCGTTTATCTGCGGGCAGCAGAGGACGTTGTCGCCCTCTACTGCCCGCTCTCCCCTCTCCGACGATGCAGTCCCATGCGTGGTCCAGCGTGTAAACTCCGTCGTCCCTGTTCATGGTCCCACATCCACGTCTCCTTATCTCGATTGCTTCCTTGATCCATCTTTTGTATTTTTGTTGTTCAGTGGTTATGATCCGTGTGCTGTCCCAGTCCATTATATGGTTTTCTCTTAAGCAATGATCTGTTACGGCTGACTTTTTTATTGTACTTTCTGCTTCTTCTTTTGCTGCTCTTGTGTGTTTACGATTTGCCTCTTTCTCGC